TTCTTTTTACTCAGTAACTCTTCTGTGTAAGTGTAGAGTTGTGCAGTAATAATACAAAATAGCTCTGACTGCTTAAACTGTTCTTTTAGGCAGTTGGCAATGCAGAGCAAAAAGTTGAGTCTGGCTGTTACAGTGGTGTGCTCAAATCTCAGAGAGGGAAAAGATTCTGAAATTGTAAAATTGGTTTTAATTTTTTTTTCTAAAATCAGGACACATCCCAAAGAGTTTTATAGACAGACAATTTTTTTTTTTTTTTTGCCAGCAGAGAACCTAGTGAAAGATGAGTAACTGCCAAGGTTATGGGAACTGTTTGTAACTTGTTCCCAGCATTGCTGATTTCAGATAATTATTCTTTACAAATTAGCTTACAACCAGTGTTCTGACACACCAGCCTGAAGTCTCACTAATATTTGCATTCTCCTCTTCCTTGTACTTTCCATAAAGAGTCTTGATCCTCTTGCTCTGTCATCTGGCTCAGGATTTGTCATGTTGTGAAGGATTTCATAATTTTCAATCTGCTTAAGCATGGGCAGGCATGGAGTTAATCCAGTGGAAAACAGGCTATATTACAAATTGTGTTTGCCGTCCAAGAGCGTTTCCCCATGACTGAATTAGTGATAGGAGACACTGAAGCCTCTTTGCTATTGACCTATATACTCCTTCCCTATATTACTTTTAATTTGTATGTTCTTTTATAATTTTTTTAATGAAGCTGCGTTTTGTTTTTTTAAGTGGGCAAGAAGAATTTGCAGAATTATGTAAGTCAGGGCATGTAACTTGGTCCTCTTGTCGTAACAGGCTTTCAAGGTTGGCCGTGCAATGGGACTATAATTCTGCTCATTATGCAGGAAATATTAGTCATTTCACAATGCTGGTTTTTTTAGCAGGTATATTTAGCTTTGTCATACTATAACATTTAGTCTCTGTGCATATAAGAACAACAGTGAGGTGATTGCTCACCCCACCTTTTATAAGTATTGTTGAGATGTATGCTTCGCTGTATTTTTTAAGAGTGTTTTTAACTGGAAGGTGGTTAGGAGTCTGTACAAACTATTTTATCTAAAAAACGCATATGAATCGTCTGAAACTTATATCTTGCAGAACCTTTGGAAATAAAAGTTTTAAAAAGCCTACATAATAGGGTGTAACTAACCATTTTGTGAAGTCTATTTTGTAGAGAAACTGCTTCATGTATTTCATACAGGCATTCCTTCTACTGTCAAACCAGCTAGTACGTGCAATTTCTGTCTGCTTTCTTGGCAGACTTCGAGCTTCAATTGCTTTTTTCCTTTGCAGTTACAGTGCAACATGGTATTTAAAAAAAAAAGGGGGGGGGGGGGGGGGGGA